CCCCCCCCCCCCAGCACATCCCCTCCCCCCCCCGCCACTATCTGTGTCCATTGGTTATGCTTATATGGATGCATACAAGTGACCCCCCTCTTACCCTCCCCTGCCTTCCCTCTGAGGTTTGACAGTCTGTTCAATGCTTCTGTGTCTCTGGATCTATTTTTGTTCATCAGTTTCTGCTGTTCATTGTATTCTACAAATGAGTGAGATCATGTGATATCTATCTTTCTCTGACTGGCTTATTTCGCTTAGCATAATGCTCTCCAGTTCCATCTATGCTGTTGCGAATGGTAAAAGTTCTTCCTTTTTTATAGCAGCGTAGTATTCCATTGTGTAGATGTACCATAGTTTTTAATCCACTTATCTGCTGATGGGCACTTAGGCTGTTTCCAAATCTTAGCTATTGTACCAAAGATTTTTTTAAGACACATTATTAGAGCAGTTTTCAGTTTACAGCACAATTGAGAGACGGGTATAGAGATTTCCCATATACCTTCTGCCCCGACACATACATAGCCTCCCCATTAGCAGCATCCCCCACTAGAATGGTACATATCTTACAATTGGTGAACTACATCAACACATCATTATCACCTAAAGTTCATAGTTCACATTGGGGTTCCCTCTTGGTGTTGCACATTCTAAGGGTTTGGATAAATGTGTAATATGTATTCATCACTATAGTATTATAAGTAGTTTCTCTGCCCTAAAACTCCTCTGTACTCTGCCTATTCATCCCTCCCTTCCCCCAATCCCTGACAACCATTGAACTTTTTACTGTCTCTATAGTTTTGCCTTTTTCACAATGTCATATAGTTAGAATCAGATAGTATGTAGCCTTTATAAATCAGCTTCATTCCCTTAACAATATGCATTTAAGGTTCCTTCATATATTTTCATGGCTTGCTAGCTCATTTCTTTTTAGCACTGAATAATTTTCCATTGTATGGATGTACCAGTTTTTTCATCCATTCACCTACTGAAGGACATCTTGGCTGCTTTCAGGTTTGGGTAATTATTAATGAAGCTGCTAAAACACCTACATGCAGGTTTTGATGTGGACATTTTTTCAACTCCTTTGGGTAAATATGCAGGAGCACGATTGCATTGATAAGACCAATAATGTTTGACTTGCAGCTGCAGATGCCCGTAGTGGAAAAAACCGCGCCAGTGGTTCGGATGAAGAACAAGATGGGACCAGTGGAATTAACCAGAATGTGGCCCTGGCCATAGCTGGGAATCACTTTAATTTGAAGACAAATGGACCCATGCTGTCTTCCTTGGTATGTTGCACATTTCTCTAGTTTGTTTTTGTTTTGAGTCTTTTCCCATCTTCTGATGGGTTCATTCTTATATTCACCTGCCAGAACCCTCCATAGAGTAGGCAGTGAGATTTCTGCCTCTTTGCTCGATGCTGGAACGAGTCACTGTGAGGCTGGCAGCTGTGGAGGGAAATGGTGCAGATGAGGCTACACACAGTCAGACAGGGTGCTGGCAACAGCAAGAGAATCACAAGTCCAGTTCAGACCGTCTCCATGGTACCAAGATCAAGGCTCAGAAAATCAGGAAAGATGTGAAACTTGGGAAACATGAGATTATTGCAGAGGATCAAACCAAGGCTCTCTCAGTGGGAGGCTTGAGCTATGTTTATTCTGTATATTTATTATTCATACTGTGTCTGCCTCCGAAAAAAGATTGAAGGTCGCTTGATAGAGTGCTTATTAAGCAGAAGACTTCAGCTTTTCTAGGTCCCTGGAGAGCCTAAGCAGTTATCTGGCTCAGTCCCTATGCACAAACTTGGGTCTAAAGAGGGGCTCTACCTGGAATAAAACCTCTGACTCATGGAGGTGTGATCCCTCTCTGTTTCTTGATGAGCTCTGAATGCCCCTATGTCAAGTCGACTCTCTATCATCCTGCTAATGGAACTGAGCATTTCATTTCAGAGTAGAGTGTATCTGTAAAGGACTCAACTAGGTTCTCTCCTGGAAAGGCGGTATTGAGACCTAAGTCATCCATGCTAGATGACTTTCTTCTCGTCCCTCCAGCATTTTTAATCTCACATTTCCCCTCCCCACCCCCACCCCCATCTCCAGTAAACCTCCATGAGGTTTGGAGGACGGAGATAAGAAAGAGAATAGACATTTGAGAGTTGACATTACTCATCCTACAGTTTGATAAATATTGTGTTTTATGACCTCCTCCACCTTTCTAAAAGCCATCTTAGCAAAGTGAGATGCTTGAGGTGGTGTATGCCTTTTACATTGTTATTTGATCTAAGGGCAAAAGTTCAAATGCCCAAAGCTCATCTATTAGAAGTTATTCCCTGTGAGGTTATATCTAAAGACTTCATGTCTTCTTTTCACTGTACTCAAAAAAACTAAGGTTAAAGTAACTTCATAAACCCTATCATTCCCATCCAAAACCAACCTTTCCTTCCGTTACTTACAAATAGCTCATTGAAAATTCACCACTACAGTCCATTGGATATTAGCTACATCACATGAACCAAGGGTGCAGCCACATATTGTTCTCTCTGTTGATCTGATGAGTAACAGAAAGTATGCTCAGCACTCTAAAATGAACTCTTATGGCCTGTATACTCAAGCAAGTAGCCTGAGTTCCCACACCCTTACCCAGAAAAACATAAATTGTGGTTAAAGTCACATTACAGAGGACTCCACTAAATTATGGATTTGATTAATTGGTTGAGCATATTATGCTTTAGTTCTCTGCTGTAAGACTGCTTTAAGTTGCCTAGTGTCCAGATTGAAGGAGAAATACTTGGATATCTTAGCATGGGAGTCCCTTGTTATCACTGAGATTGGGGGAAGGGTGGTCAAGGTCCAGGGCAGACCACCAGACCACAATGCTCCTGAGACAGAGAGTGCCCAAAGTTATGTGGCTAAAAGCCTGGCTCAGATACAGCCCCAGGTGAGCCTGTTGGCCGATGAACCTGGCAGTGAAAGGCCGAGTTCCTGGAGACAGACCCCAGCCAAGTTAGAAGTACAGTTACTGTGTTCTAAGAGATTAATGTCCCTTAAGACTTTCAGTGTTTCTGCTGCTTAACTTCTTCCTCTGCATTTGTCTCCCCATCTGCCTGCTTCCAGCCCTACAAGCAGTACAACGTGCTGAATGCCGACACAACCCGAAACCTCATGATCTGCTTCCTCTGGATCATGAAAAATGCAGACCAGAGCCTCATTAGGAAGTGGATTGCTGACCTGCCCTCCATGCAGCTCAGCAGGATTTTAGATCTCCTTTTCATCTGTGTCTCGTGTTTTGAGTACAAGGTAGGTGTGGGGTGGCTCTGTTTTAAACTAGTTCTCATCTCTCAAGATCCATCCTGTCTTGTCACTGTTCCCCTTTGTTTGGGCAATGGAGGCATCAGTACTTTTTCTTATTTCTGTATTAAAATCCATAACCTATTTGCATATGCAACACCTATCTGGATATGGTAATTCCTCAGGGAAAGGGCCCTTGCCTTCTGCAGAGAGAACTCCATTCCTGTTAACAGGCTTTCAGCCATGGGATCCCCCAGAACAGTGTCTCTGTAGAGCACATGTCCGTACTGGCCGACCTCACCTCGGAGTGTTCTGTTGTGAAGAGTGTCCCCGTAGACAGAGATCTCACCAAACGAAACGTCCTTCTTCCTCTGTCCTGTCCAGGGAAAGCCGAGTTCTGACAAAGTCAGTACCCAAGTCCTGCAGAAGTCGAGGGATGTCAAGGCCAGGCTGGAAGAGGCTTTGCTCCGCGGAGAAGGGGCCAGAGGGGAGATGATGCGGCGCCGGGTCCCAGGTGCGTTGGATCCGCCCTTCCCTGTTTTCTGTCAGAGACTTCTGCACCCTTTATGGGAGGAATGCCCTCCCTCCATGAGTAGACACCATCACTTTAGTAAGACACTATGATAGTAAAGACAAGCAGGTTCTGGGATTCTGTGCCTGATGTGTGTCATGTCAGCCCTGTGTCTCTCGAGGGAACGTTGCTTTCCTGCGATCACAGGAACCCCAGAAATGTCCCCAAATGGCATCTTCAGCCTAAAACGTGTCTGTGGTAAAAGATCACCTTCAAGAATGTGAGTCATCGTATGAGACACATGGTGTCTCTCTCAAGGCTGAAGCCTCTCCACGGAATGTTTGACTTGTGTCCTCGGAGTGTGGTCAATACACGGGGTAGTTCTGGTTTCAAGATCATCTCCCCAAGTCACTCAGGCCACTGTTAGAATGGAACAAATCCTCTCAGGGGCCTCCGAGTGTCCTAGTCCTCCAGAGACCCCACAATACCAGGAATGATCTCAAAGTGGCTGAGCTCATCGCTGTAGAATAGAGCGAAGTGCTCCGGTAGCCTCCGTCTGCTTTACTGAGCTCAAAGTAAAACAGAGCAACAGCTCACCCGATGCGACGATGCAACAGGACACAGTGGTCAGGAACTTGAAGGGAGCTCAGCATTTACATGTGTGATTGATTACCTTCATTTGACACCCACCCTGTCCTTTCAATAACTTAGTGAGAAGACCTAGAGTTTCACTGGAAACCTGTGTTCCTGGAAACATGCTCACCGACACTCCAGAAAGGCAGGGGTTCTACTATAGCTCTAGCTTGTCAATCAAAGAGCAAGCCAGCCCAGACATGAACATGGCCTTTGTCTCCTACCAGCATTCAGCATGGACTCTAACCGAGAAGCGGCGCTGAGTGCTCTTAGTTGACCTTGTTACAGAACTTCTGGTTATCTTGGAGGGTTTCGGGCTAATCACATTCCTATCATGCATTTCTTAACTCCTAGGGAATGACCGATTTTCATGCCTAAATGAAAATTTGAGATGGAAGAAGGAGCAGACAAATTGGCGGCAAGCTAATGAGAAGCTAGATAAGTGAGTCACTCAGCAACTTTGTGCTACTTTTACCTAAAGTTCCAAACTGTTTTTCCCAGGCTACTTGTATTACTACATCCTTCCAAGGGTAAGAAAATAAATCATTATGATCTGTGTAAATTCAGTTCATCCAGGGACTCGGTATAATCAAAGGTATAAGGAGTTATGATTTCCAGCTCTTAAACATTTATCACATTGATAAGCATTTAAAGAAAACAACTATTTAGCAATCTCAGATAGCTTAACAACAGCTGCTGATGGGGATAGCACAAGGTACCCAAGACCACATAATTTCAATTTATATTTCCTCTCCAGAAATGTGCACAAAAATGTCTATTCAGGGATATTTATATCAGCATTACATAAATTTATTTTTTAATGAGAAACACTCTAAATGCTCAAGAATAGGGAAATATTAGGTTGGCATTAAAATGTTTTGAAATCATTTTAATGACACAGGAAATGCTTATGATATAGTTCAGTAAACAAAAGAAGGATAGACACTTGATTTTAGAGTAGAATCTTAAATCTCTAATTACATGTAGTAAATACATTTTTGAAATATTGGAAAAAAATTATCAAAATATTTTTAAATATGTTTTTACTGATTTTTAGAGAGAGAGGAAGGGATAGGGATAGAGAGATAGAAACATTGATGAGAGAGAAACATCATCAATCAGCTGCCTCCTGCATGCCCCCTTCTGGGGATCGAGCCCGCAACCAGGGCATGTGCACTGACCAGGAATCAAACCAGTGACCTCTTGGTTCATGAGTCAATATTCAACCACATGAGACACATCTGAGGGGGGGAAATTTATCAAAATATTAACAGTGGTATTTCTTTTAGAAATAATTGATGTTTTCTTCTTTATGCTTTGCTGTATTTCCTACAATGGATGTATTATGGTGTATATTATCGAAAAAAAATACAAAGTAATGAAAGAAGAAAAATCCTGCTTGGATTGCAATAATAATCTGGATATATGAGGACATTAAAGTAAATATGTTGAATATATAGCACATGTCTGCTGTTCCTCTTAGCAGCAGGTAGCCCAATGAACCCCAGGGTTCACTCAGCAAAACATTGCACAGCTAAAGACACCCCTCACTTGACAAGGCCTAGGAAGGGTAACCCCATGATGTGTGAAGCCCCCAACATAAGGGAGTGGAGGGTGGGGCAGACTTGAGTAGCAAGGTTATTTTGTAAGCAAATATAAGTTACTAGCTTTATTGTTGCCACAGGAATGCATCATTCTGGTCCACTTATAGGACTTTTGGGGACCTAATTTATTTTAAAACATTGAACACATTTTTATTATAGATGTTACTTGGAAAGCCCAGTTATTTGGTCTTATTAATAACATCTATTTGTTCTAGGATTTTTATTCTTGCTCTGTGTCCCCTGAACTGGTTTATAAGATATTTGGTTCTCAGAGTCCCTAAGTTCTAGGTCAGGCAATGAACAAACCAAAAAATAGTTTTTTAAACATGCATGCAATACAGACTGCACAGGTGGTTAAGACATCTGTATGCAATTAAAAGAAGAGCTTAATGAGGCATGTTTTGCTTGGGCTGTGTAAATCGATGTTTTGGGAAACTTTCCCTTTTGCTTGTAGAAACAACACCATATGGAGCCTTTCCATGCAGGGCCCTCCAATTTTCTCTAGGTCGGTTCTCAGCCCTGAGCTCCCTGGTGGGCTGCTTGCTCACTGTCAGAGCTAACGACTCACCTCTGCAGATTGAGGTGGTATCTTTTTTTCTTTTCTTTTAAGAAACCATAGTAAAATTGAGCAGCTCGATTTAGAAAACTTTTTTGGAAAACTTTTTGTAATTATGAATAGTGGTGTCTTGCACCATTTTCTTTCAGATCCCTTTTCAGTTATTTGGCTCTGTTCCTTTTAGAGCAGTGATTTTCAGCCAGGGCTGTATGTTGGAACCACCAGGGAGCTTTTAAAGCTTCCAGTGCCCAGATGTACCCACGGCCAATTAATTCGGAATCTACAGTGGTGGGGCCCAGAAATAAGTATTTGGTAAAACTCCCAGGTGATTCTATTGTGCAGTCAAATTTGAGAAACACCATTTTAAAGGAATAGTTAATAGGCTTTAAAAAAAACAAACAGATTTGTGGTGGTGATGGTTGCATAGCAATATGAATGTACTTAATACCACCAAACAGTACACTTAAAAATGGTTAAGATGATAAATTTTATGTTATGTGTATTTTACCACAATAAAAAATTAGGGAAGAGGGACTAGGATACTCTAGACCTGCAGGTCCAATATAGTAGCCACAGTAGCAGTGTAAGGGAAAAGTACCAGATTTTGAAGATTCGGTACAAGTAAAATAATGTAAAATATCTCATTAGTAAACTTGATATTAGATTTTGAAGACAGTACAAAAAGATGTAAACTATCTCATCAGTAATATTTCTAGTGATTATACATTGACAATATTATTTGACATATTGAGTTAAACAAAATATATTATAATTAATTTCACCTTGCTTTTTTTGTGTGTGGCTACTGCAGAGTAGAAAATGACATATGTGGTCCCCGTTATGTTTCTGTTGGATAGCGTTGCTCTAAATCTAAACCTGTGAGTAAATTTGTAAAAAGTGGTGTTTCTATTTCACTTATTTTACACAAATATTATCACTCAGAGAATGAGAAAAACAAAACAGCGTAGGGCAGCTTGGGACCAAAGAGCCTCTCCTAAATGTGAAAAACAAGGAAAATATTTATTCTGAGGCCTGATGGCATGTGAACAACGGCGCTGCCCCTATTGAATGATGGGGACTCATGAGCAGCTGGGGATCCAGGGCAAGACTTTTGGGCTCACATCATGACCCGCCTCCCCACCCCCCACCCCTGTGCTAACATTTTGGCCCCTGGGACACCTTGGGAAAATCCATTCTTTACACTTCCCTTTCCTGGCAACTAAATTTAGATGAGGCAAAATCTCCTTTCCCAACTTCACTTGGATTTTATGAAAATGGATGAACTAATGCGTACAATGCTCGGAGTCCTTTAAATGAAACCTAGCAGAGAAGGAGCACCAGGCAATCTCCCATTCCCTAGTGCAGTGGTTCTCAACCTTGGCTGCACATTAGAATCACCTGGGAATCTTTTTAAAATCCTCCGAGATGAGGCCCAGAAATCGGGATTTTAAAAAGATTCCCAGGTGATTCTAATGTGCAGCCAAGGTTGAGAACCACTGCCCTCATGGATAATAACCAGTAACGAACATCTGGATGTTCCGCCCCACAGGAATCCAATCCTGCTTCCCATTGGAAAAGGACTAAAGGCCCGCACTTGACTATGCAACCCCAAGGCAGTCTCAGGGAGGTCAAGAGACAGCCTCTTCCCTGACCCCTTTCCTAATCCAGCAGCATCGTTGCCAAATTCACATCACACCCAGTCTCCTCACTCCCTCCAGTTCCTTGCAGAGGCTGCCCTTGGCTCAGATCTGGAGATGGTTATTCTGCATGAAATGTAGGAATGGCCCCCAAGGCCTTATGCAGCAGTCTGATTGGCTAGCCTCATTGCTAGTAGCAACCAATAATTGCCTTTCTACCCATCTTGTTATTTCTGTAATTGCCATCATTACTTATAATAATGGGGATGAGGATGGCCTGGAGACTCCACCTAGAAAACCTTTTTAACCAGACACCAACCACAAAAGGCATCCTGCACTCCTTCGTTACCCGTGTTGCCATTGCTCTGTATTCACTCCAACCCGACTCTTCAGAAGATGTCTTTATGCCTTGTTGCATAGATTGCTATCGCTGCGATACAGCCAGGTTTGACATGTGCTCGAATTTGACCTCTTTTTTATTTCTTAGAACAAAGGCAGAGTTAGATCAAGAAGCCTTGATCAGTGGCAATCTAGCGACAGAAGCAAATTTAATCATCCTGGACATGCAGGAAAACATTATCCAGGTGAGGACAACAAACACTTGCTCTATTCAGCATGAACATACTGAAATTTAATAAAGAATTCTTTATAGAAACTTGTAAGAGAAATAAACATGATCCCTAAATGCCTTTTTTGAAAAAATGAAGTTAGGCAGTTTACAATAGTGTCCGACTTACAAATTCCAGAGATAACGAAAATTCTTCAGGCTTCTTTGAACTTGCTGTTCACCTGGAGGAGTTAGATGCTTTATAAGCTGACCCTTGTAGTTAAATCAGCCGGAATGTATCAAATTTATAATGTGAATGCTGGGCTTATCATCCAGTATCCAGAATAAGGATGGTAGCTAGGGGTGTTTTTTGGTGGGTCAGATCCACTTGAGTTATTGATATCTGGTAGAGAAGCTAAGATTATGACTGGGTTAGATGTAAAAAAGAGTGTGTCTGTTTTGCATACAAATTGGAAAGTAATTTATTTGTGCCATAAACTTGCCGTTTCTGCTGTAGAAAAGTGTAGCATCACTGTGAACAGTAATACAATTCATCACACTCACTTCATCTTCTAAGTGAATGTTTCCCCAAATTACCAAGATTCTAGGTGACAGTGGGTTTTTAGTTAACCTGAAAAATGAGTCCTGACATGTTTCCAGTGAGAAGTCATTAGAATAGAACTAGTATTGCCTTTTGGAGGCCAGGAGAAGAAAACTTGTTGAAATACAGTGGCACTTTAAATATCCAACTCTTAAGTTGTCTAAAATCAAGGCAATCATTGTACAAAAATAAAAAGTATATGGCATCTTTGATAACTTAAGTGCTTGGCATCACATTGATTATATCCTTACATAACACAACTTTGAGTGCTATATACTTAACGCCAGTCCTCACAATGTATTTGCAATTTTCAAAGAAAGCTGAAACTTGTCATTATCTTTGGTGGTTTTGATCTTACTGTAGCTGATAAACAAGTTCCTTCAGCCCCTATTGTACTGGGAAGCCCACAACTGTGTTTTGAAGCTCAAAGGAAGGCTGTACCTTATATACAAAGAAAGAACATTACAAAAGCTATTGCCCAGGATTATAACTTAGTTTAACAACCCAGATATAAACCCCAAATCAACGGGGAGTTTGGGGATAGTTATTTAGATGATATGTGTGGTGCTTTACCAAACCCATAAGCTCTTAGATCAAGAGGAACGGAACTTCAGATCCCAGTGCTGATTGTCAGAAGCATCTACTTGTGTCTTTACCCCTCAGTTCACAACTCAGGGATTCAGTGATGCTGTTCTGTTCCCCCAGGCAAGCTCGGCTCTGGACTGCAAAGACAGCCTGCTGGGAGGTGTTCTAAGGGTTCTGGTGAATTCTCTGAGCTGTGATCAGAGCACCACCTACCTGACTCACTGCTTTGCAACACTCCGTGCTCTCATTGCCAAGGTAAACGCAGAATGCTTGTTTTCTTACTCCTAATTAAGAGTTAAGATTCTCGTCTAGCGTCAGACTTCTCCCTTCAGGTGCACAAACCCCACAGCGTCCTAAGTGACGCTGTGGTCAAGGTCTTAAGTCTCCCCAGGAAGAAAGCAGATGCACCATGGCGAGGAAAAAAACGGGCTCTCAAACTTGAAACGTGGGCTGAACTGTAGAAATATGGAATGGCCACTCACTGGAGACATCAGAGGAAAAGTCCATTAAGCAACATTGCCTTTCACCCCTTTTCTTTAATAGTGCCTCTGACTGGGATTGAAGTCCTGTGTGTGACACCCAGCAGTAAGCCTTTCAAAATGTCATGCCATAAAACAACAGAAAGTTGCCGAAACCGGTTTGGCTCAGTAGATGGAGCGTCGGCCTGCAGACTGAAGGGTCCCAGGTTCGATTCCGGTCAAGGGCATGTACCTGGGTTGCGGGCACATCCCCAGTGGGAGATGTGCAGGAGGCAGCTGATCGATGTTTCTCTCTCATCAATGTTTCTAACTCTCTATCTCTCTCCCTTCCTCTCTGTAAAAAATCAATAAAATATATTTTAAAAAAAACAAACAGAAAGTTTCAGCCAGCCTTTCAAAATGTCATGCCATAAAACAACAGAAAGTTTCAGCCGGGGAGAGGTCAATGGGGGAAAAGAAGACACATGTAATACTTTAAACAATAATTTTAAAAAATAACAGAAAGTTTAGAAATAAATTTCTCTTTCTCGCAGCCTGAAGACTATAGATGTTCCTTAAGATGGTCTAAGGCAGTTGGCGTTCTCCCGCTTACTGGGAATCTCAGTTGGTGCCTTCCACATGGGATCTTTTCCATTTAGAAAGTGAAACTCTGCTCTCCCTAGCAGGGTCATTTTCTCTTTCTTAGTCACCAGTAATTTTTAGGGAACCCAGTAAGTCAGGATCATCCCTTCAGAGTTGTGACTTTGCCAGTGAATGCAACCTGGCTAACAATGCAATTAATTACGCAGCCCTATTCCTTGTGGTACGGTTCATAATTAAATCTGAACTCCATCATTTCATTTCATCTTCTGACTCAAGTAGCTCATTATCTTTATGGAGCAATGCATGAACTCTTCCGGGCTTTTTGCTTGTCCAAGCAGATATTTGCATATTTCAACAAGCATCCAGTCCAGAAAGCATATGAAAGTGCCTAATAGCTCCTGTGTCTCTCCTAGTTCGGCGACTTGCTGTTTGAGGAGGAGGTGGAGCAGTGTGCGGACCTGTGTCAGCGAGTGCTGCATCACTGCAGCAGCAGCATGGACGTCACCCGGAGCCAAGCCTGTGCCACCCTCTACCTCCTCATGAGATTCAGTTTTGGAGCCATCAGTGTAAGAGCTCAGACCAGCTGGGTGACCCAGAATCAATAGAGAAAGTCAGTGCAAAACATTGGTTAAGGAAATGTTTGCAGGATTGCAATTTACTTCTTCCTATGCAAAGAAAACAATTGACTATGCAGAGGGAGAGCAGCCTTTGTTTAAATTTGCATCCAAAAATGAACATCAAGACAGATGAATGCAGTGTTTTCCACGTGGGTGTTTCAATAAAAAATGAATGAATAGATGTAGATTCAAAGCTGTCATCTGGGGTGGGGGTGTGGGGGGAAATACAACAGGCAGAATAGAGATTCTAAAGAGTTTGTTTTATTTATAAATTCTGGTTGACTGGTTCCATAATGACCTGTGGAAGAGAATTTGAAACTACACCTGAGTTTTCATTGAAGCTTAGCAGCCTTTGGTGCTATTTTATTGCAAAAGAGTCAACTTTTGCTTTAGCTGGTCTAGATATTGATATGTTCTTTTGGAATTTACATTTGTGGTCATGTTCATGAGCATGCTCAAGTGATATTAAAAGATAAATTGGCCCATGGAAGAAAGGCAGGATCCTCAGACTATGTTAGGCATAACTGTTTAAAAGCCATTAGAACATTCCTCAGGGGCCCTTAGAATAGTCATATTTCCCCATGGGCCTGGAAGGGAAGGAGAAACAGAAAGTGGCGGCCTACCCAGAGTCCAGAATCTCAGAAATCCTGGCCCTGGAGATCGTGTTCTTCTGTGCAGTTTAAATAAAGTTCCAAGAAGAAGAATCTTGGCATGAAAGGAGACATCCTGTGACCCACTTTGCAGGAACCTGCCAGCCTGGCAACGGGGCTGCTCAGGCCTCCATGAAAATTTAATGTCAGAGCAACATCCTTTTAAGCCATTTAAACAATAATATGAATCTTGTGCAGAGTACACCTCACGTTTTATTGAGAGGAAAGGAGATGATGGTTTCAATGATGAGAGTTATTGGTGTCTGGCTCTACTGCCTTCAATGATCTACTAGCTGAGTGCCTCTTACTGTTCCATCTTTTCTTTTAACTGATGCAGAACTTTGCAAGAGTAAAGATGCAGGTAACCATGTCTCTGGCATCTTTGGTGGGCAAAGCACAAGACTTTAATGAGGAGCACCTGAGAAAATCCTTGAGGACCATTTTGGCCTATGCAGAAGAGGACAAAGCCATGCAGACCACTCTTTTCCCCACCCAGGTAGGCTGAAGAGAGTGCCTTGTCTCATGCATGAATTGGGGATCAGCCAATAATAATAAATTCATATATATGTGTATGTCTGTGTGTATATGCATATATACATATACTGCAATATATTATATATAAAGTATGTAGTTATACATTATATACTTATATATGTAATATATAAATGTTATATAATGTTTTTTTACATATTACATATATACTAGAGGCCCAGTGCACAAATTCGTGCACAGGTGGGGTTCGGCCAGCCCGCCCCATCAGGGTTGAGGGGGGCCGGTCAGGGGGCGGGGGCTGGCCCAACACCCTGGTCGAACTCCAGGTTGAGGGGACAATTTACCTTTTATTATATATGATATGTATGTATATATATATGAAGTGCTCAGGTAGCCTCAGTCTCATTTACTGTGGGTAATGAACATTAAGGATCACAGTTGCCAGTCTGTCTTCCTCTGCTAAGGAAGTTTCTGGAATAAAGCATGCTGATTAATGGCAGTGTTGCTGTATGTTATAGATAGATAGATAGATAGATAGATAGATAGATAGATAGATAGATAGATAATAGATAGATATAGATATAGATATAGATATAGATATAGATATAGATATAGATATATAGATATATAATGTAGAACCTAAGCTGACGTACTAAGTTGTCTCCTACTTGGTATAAACAGCCCTGATGTTCTGGATTATACTTTAGGACTCTTCAGGTTGCAAATAACTGGAACTAGTTCACACTAAATTCTTTTTCACCTGCAAAGGTGAAGGCCACAGAGGATCCAGTCTAGACTCCCCTCCACTCGCAATCTCTCCTCTCCTAGAGAAGCCTGTTCCTGCTGCCCTTGCACTTTCAGTGCAATTCTAACTCGTTACCCTGGGCTACAAAGCAAAGATTACTTTTTCTACACTTTTTTGCAGGTCGAGGAACTTCTCTGCAATCTGAATAGCATCCTATATGACACAGTGAAAATGAGGGAATTTCAGGAAGATCCTGAGATGCTTATGGATCTCATGTACAGGTAACCTTCTCTGATGAAATCAAAGGGTGTCACTTGAGGGTCTAAGGCAGCGGTTCTCAACCTGTGGGTCGAGACCCCTTTGGGGTCGAACGACCCTTTCACAGGGGTCGCCTAAGACCATCGGAAAACACATATTGAATATATAAATTGTTTTTGTGATTAATCACTATGCTTTAATTATGTTCAATTTGTAACAATGAAAATACATCCTGCATATCAGATATTTACATTATGATTCATAACAGTAACAAAATTACAGTTATGAAGTAGCAACGAAAATAATTTTATGGCTGGGGGTCACCACAACATGAGGAACTGTATTAAAGGGTCGCAGCATTAGGAAGGTTGAGAACCACTGGTCTAAGGTTTGTCACGGTGGAATTCTTATTAATGTTATTATCACAGGCCATGTGGGCACACTGTTTTGGATGATACATCCAAAACTGTTTATAGAAACTGGTAGAAATTAATTATTCAGAGAGAGTTGATTCATGTACAAGTTATCAGGAAGATCTCCCTAATTTAAAGTAAGATGCCCATTTTATAACACTATCTTCCACTTAGTATAGAGTGAGAGAAAAGAACTATCAACTGTTACATGAATTATTTCTTATGTGTTTTTACTATTATATTCAGACATACAGGTACAGTTTTATTTTAAAAAATCATATTTTACTCTGTAGCTTAAAATTTTGCTTTGCAGCACTGCCTCAGGAGAAACTACTTACAAAGACAAAATCATTCTTCTATGTTGAAATAAGAATGGTAGTACTGCCCTGACCGGTTTGGCTCAGTGGATAGAGCATCAGCCTGGGGACTGAAGGGTCCTGGGTTCGATTCCGGTCAAGGGCATGTACCTTGGTTGCGGGCATATCCCCAGTGCGGGGTGTGCAGGAGGCAGCTGATCAATGTTTCTCTCTCATCGATGTTTCTGGCTCTCTATCCCTCTTCCTTCCTCTCTGTAGAAAATCAATAAAATATATATTTTTTAAAAAGAATGGTAGTACTTTTGTCTTCTGTTTTTTGTGAGAAAGGAAAGAAAAGGAAGGAAACTGCTAGAGATCCATTAACATAAATATCATTTTATCAGGTCTCTTTTTTCCCATAAAGCTTTAATTAAATGCTGTTCCTTGGGGTCCAAAACACCTTAGACATGGAGCGAAAACAGCTGGACTGATAAATGTTGGCCTTTTCTCTCATATTCTGAATGTGTAGGTAAACTCTGGGAGGGGAATTTCTTGGGGGAAAAAAAAAAAGTGGCCACACACAGTAGAAAAACAGTGTCATTAACCAGTTGTCTTTGAAACTTTCTCACTCTGTCCTCAGAATTGCCAAGAGTTACCAGACATCTCCCGACCTGCGGCTGACCTGGCTCCAGAACATGGCAGAGAAACACTCCAAGAAGAAGTGCTACACGGAGGCCGCCATGTGCCTGGTGCACGCGGCTGCCTTGGTGGCGGAATATCTGAGCATGCTAGAGGACCACAGCTACCTGCCCGTGGGCAGCGTCAGCTTTCAGGTATGGGGCACGTTCAGCTTTTCCTGCAGGGTAGTGCTTCTCAACAGTCCAGAGGGCATTTGACAATGTCTGGAGACATTTTTTGATATTACCGTTGGGGAGAGGAGGAAAGGTGCTACTAGCATCTAATAGGTATAAGGCAGGGATGCTGCTAAACACGCTACAATGCTTAGGACAGCTCCCCCCACAAACAAGTATCTTGCTCCAAATATCAATAGTGCCAAAGCTGAAAAACCTGCTTTAGTGTATTCTATTTGCCTCTTCTCATTGCTGTGCCATCTTGGTTTGTTTGGTTTATTAAATTATTGATTACAATAAGTGCAGAGGCACTTTAGACATTACCAAACACTTTCACATCCGTGACTTCATTTGACCTCCCCACCAACCAGTGAAGCAGGCAGACAGATAAAGAAATTGAGAGAGCATTTTTTCTAAGGTTATTTAAACGCTTTCTCAAAGACTCATAGTTGGCACAGTATACTGACAACCATGAGAGAATTTTCCAAACATTGTAGAAACGATTTCCCTCATGGCCCATTCCTTGGATTACACTCCCCAACTCTGTAGTATTCCACTCCCTAACCCAAAAATCAAGGAAGAACCAAATTGACATGATAAGGGAAAAGGGGGGCTGAATTAATATTTTCTCATGATAGGCTGAATATTGCCCATAGTCAGAAAAGGGAGCTTGTCTGCCAGGCTGAAAATTGGTTCAGGCTAGGATGCTAAGAGGCCACTGGGACTGCTTTTGCTAAATGGTTTAACACAGTATTTAGAGGAAACAAAAGTGTTATGAGTACTTTTCTTTTAAGAAACATAATCTGTAAGAATGACCAACCCTAAAACCATGAACAATATAACAAGTACAGTAATTGAGCCCTTTGCAAGCCAGACTCACAAAGTCATTTACAAGTGTTTGCATTATTCTTGTTTGAACTTACATGATTGGTTTTATAAAAGACTTTGTTCTCATTATTGTTTTTCAATGTAATTTTGTGAGGCCATGTGAACCAGAAAGGGGGCAATTGAGAGTAGCTTTCACAGGCAGAGAAAATAAGTCACTGAGTCTGTTGCTGGTGGAGCCAGGGGTTTCTGTTTCCTAGAATACTGTCCACCTGCTAAGCTGGGTATTGCCTCATATTAGTAACTCCTCTTTTCTTATGGTCTTCAATAACAGAAATATTCTCTTTTTTTCATTCTCTGCAAGTAAATTATATTCTCAATTCAGAAATACTTGTTATTGCAGGGGGGCAATTGAGAGTAGCTTTCACAGGCAGAGAAAATAAGTCACTGAGTCTGTTGCTGGTGGAGCCAGGGGTTTCTGTTTCCTAGAATACTGTCCACCTGCTAAGCTGGGTATTGCCTCATATTAGTAACTCCTCTTTTCTTATGGTCTTCAATAACAGAAATATTCTATTTTTTCATTCTCTGCAAATAAATTATATTCTCAATTCAGAAATACTTGTTATAACAGCCAAACATTTAATTCTCATCCCATCGATGTTTCTGGCTCTCTATCCCTCTCCCTTCTTCTCTGTAAAAAATCAATAAAATATATTTTAAAAAAAGAAATACTTGTTATAAAAGCCAAACATTTAATTCTCATCCCATAAAAAATCACATTAGGTTTTTGAATCACAGAAAAGTAAAGAAAGTTATAAAAATCATTTTAGATGTATCTACTTCTTTCATCCAATTTATTTTGGCCACTTGTTATTATCAAGGGTAAATAATAATAAGTGATAAACTTTCAGTGCCCCGAAATCTTTAGATCTATCACTTAGTTTTGAATTATATTGTCCTCTTTTCTTGTTTCATTAGCTGAACTATTATTATTTTATACTTTTTCTCAGTTATTCTATTTTATATTTATCACTTTGATAATTGGTAATCCTTACCATTTTAATTTCACCAAGAATTTGGTTGATTTGCTTATAATAAGTAAGGCCAAGGTGAGATAGAATAGTTATTCTAGAACCAACAGGAAACTTCACATTGTTCCTACATTGAGGGGTGCATATAGCTGTATTTTTTTATATTCTTTATCCATTCATTCATTCATTTAGATGATATTTATTAAGCACCTGTTTTGTCCCCATGAACTTTACATTCTCACCAGGGAAAGTGACATCATATAACTATTTCATTCCTTACTTACTTATAATTATAGTTAATGCAATAATAAAGTTGCTATGAATGTTTATAATGTGACCCAGCCTGGAGGTAAAGGAAAAACTCAGAAGAACAAGGAAGGCAAAGGGGAGGGCAGAAGGAACTGGGAAGTGCGAGGTCTTCATGATACACAGAACGTGGTGAATTAGGTGTTCTCAGCTACAGAAGAGAAGCCAAATTATGTTGATGCTTTTGAGCCAATTTTCTCTCAAATGAGACATACCACATCCATTTGGAAATACATGCTTGCAGGGGATGGAACACCTAACCCACAGTGACAGAAGGAAAAAAAATGGAATTTATCAGCTAGCATGAGGGAGTAGTACCTGCCAAACTGAACCTAAGGACCCAAACAATGTCATCAGAACTCAGTGTCAAAACCATTTCCTGTCTCTGCTTTCTGTTATGTCACCTTCATTCTTCACAGGCTTCCCACACTCATTGAGAAACACTTAGGCTTACATCTTCCCAGGTTCAAGTCCAGGAGAATAGACAGATGCCTCATTCCTAGCAGTTGCTGAGAAAGCCTCAGTGCATCTTATTGGTTCTGACAGGGTCGTGTTCTCCTGCCTGAACCAATCAGAATGGCCAGAGGAATGGAATGAGAAGTGGAATTGGCTGGGCCAGAGTTGAGGTCCACACCTGAAGTTATGGATGGTTCTCCAGGAGGCTTTACTGTGTAGAAGGACTAAGGAATTCTGGCAGCATTAACAACAGATGTTCAGTGTTGAGTTCTTAGATGCTTTGTGTTTTAGTTTTCAACCTTGTTATGCTCCAATAAAATTGAATTTGGGGGGAGGTGGGGGCGGTTAGAGATCAACCAAAGGACTTGTATGCATGCATATTAGCATAACCAATGGACACAGACACTGGGGCGGTGGAGGCTTGCTCGGGGTGGGAATGGCTGGGGGGGACACATGTAAAACTTTAGACAATAAAAAAAAGATTAAATTGAATTTTTGGAAAAGAATTGTAAACTAGAGATAAATAAATCTGTGAAAGAGAAATAACTTTGAGACCACTGAATTCTACAAAACTGAGATCATTGAAATGCTATGCCCCAGAGTACAATATTTACTCCACAAGTGTGGATACAGATGCAGTCTCAGATACTGCTGTTACTGTTACCTCCTAATTCTGAAGCCAGGAAAGTCTGCCCAGAATCTTTTTCCTATGACTACAGCTAATAAAGCTATATAACTTCAAATCTGTTCCTCTGCATGTAGGAAATTGCATACAGTTCTAATAGTATTTGCTTTGGGGGTTATTAGATTCTTTCAAATGAATCTTTTGGACCTTCTGTTATCTCCAATCCAGAAACATCATAATAGACCAGGTTTGGAAGAAAGATTGGCTACAAAAGATTCTGAAAGCCTCCTATATTCCTAAAACCGCATTACAATATTGGAGGTGAAGACGTAGGACCGTAACAACTCTCTTTTCCTAGATTGCTAAGGTAGATTCACTTGATCCTGCTAGCCAAGCCAGGAGGCAGACATATATTACTCCAAAAGCCAACTCTGATCCATTGGAAGTGGCTGACTAGAGTACTATGCTGAGAAGACTTTTGAGACTATATCTAAGCTTCAGAGGAAAGAGTGCTATGATTGATTAGTTATGCCTGCCATGAGTGCAGGAATAGGAAGGGGCATGTATGCTGTTTGCAATTCCTTAAGCTAGAAAGATTTCCCATTTCTTCCATGCTCCATATGCATTTCTTCCACAGCTGGGAGACAGGTTGAAGAAAATGACTCTTGACCTCTCAGGTCCAGAGCTGGGAAGAGGCATTTGAGGCAGTAAGGCAGAGATTTAAGGAAGTACTCTCAGGGTCAAGCAATTTCAGGGTTAGCACTTCCACCGTCCCGAGAGTAAGTGCCGCCCTGCGTTTCTCGGGGGTTCACCCTAGACCTGGCCTCGGCCACTGCATTCTTTGCCAGAGACTTCAAACTCTACAGTTTAAGTAAAGGAAAGGCATGTAGAAAGTAACAAAATGTTTGGGGTAAAAAAGATAACTGCTACATTACCATAAAATTTTCCATAGAGAAGACATTCTAATTTGCTACTGTCATATAACATTGTGGTTCTTCATCTGAAAGTCAAGTCAGGAGGAGCAACGTTCAGAAAAACACCCCAAAAAGTAAGAGTTCACTCAGCTAGTGAAACGAGAAGTCTGGTCACCTGTTATTTGGTCTTTGCCTTTTAAAAACCATGACCCCAGCTGGATGTCCCTTATGGTTATTTCCCTAAATGTTGTTCAACTGTTGTTATATTGAGGAAGGTATCCTTCCTATAGCTCCTAATGGTTATTAAAAAAAAAGAAAATTGTGAGTTTTGAAGGCCTGTTGCTCATATGTTCTCTCAGAATGATGAATCACCAGGGCCTCTTCCCGGGGGAATCACAGGCCTGCACGGGACAATCACAGGCTTGCTGCAGATCTTTGAGTGTGGCTCTCATCGCGCCATTTGGGGTCCCCGTGGTGCCTTTTGTTAGCAGGGTTTCCCTGTTCTCCAAGCTTATACTTTCATTTCTTTCAGAATATTTCTTCCAATGTGCTGGAGGAATCTGCAGTCTCTGAAGATACCCTGTCGCCGGATGAGGATGGCGTGTGCTCAGGCCGCTACTTCACCGAGAGCGGCCTGGTGGGCCTCCTGGAGCAGGCGGCCGAGCTGTTCAGCACGGTGAGTGCACACGGGAGCCTGGCCTCACGCTGGGTTGAATTCCGGGTGCTGTGAATGTGGCCTTAATGGCCAAGCCAGTCCCACTTTGTGAGGACAAATGCAGGGGTGTGCAGGACAAGGGGTGGCCAGGACGACTTTGATGGCTGCAAATTGCACCAGCTCTCCAGGGAGGTGAGAAAGCCTTTCACCACTGCAACAGTCTGCTTTCACCGCATGCTCATTGGCTGGGCAGCAGTTTCACAGCATTATTTCCTTTTAATAGGGCTGGAAGCGAAGCCACAGAGAGGTGAAATGGCTTGCCCAGGGCTGCACAATAAATGATGAGGCATGTTCTCCCTGCCTCATCTTCCCTCTCAGAGAGGAGAATGAATATGGAGAGGGAAGGAATAAATAGGCAGCGTCTTCCTTCCTAATAACTAACTGAGTCGCCCTCAGGATCTTCACGGCCAGGTCCAGCTCGCAGAATGTGGGAGCGGAAACCACTACGGCTCCCCTCATTGACCTAATCTGGGTCTAAACATTCCTAAAAAAGAAAATATATGTAGATTAAGTCAGCGATTTTCAACCTTTTTCATCTCATGCCACATAAACTAATTACTAAAATTCTGCAGCACACCAAAAAATATATTTTTTGCTGATCTGACAAAAAATATAATTCTGATTCATTTACACCAGAAGTCACACCAGAGAGATGTTGTTGTGGTGCCTGTTGTCATTTTTTTTAATTTGACAATCTAAGGAAAAAGAGGTCAGTGCCTCTGACCAGATAGTCATGTACTGCACGTTTTAAAAATTCTTGTGTCCTACCAGTTGAAAGTCTCTCTGGATTAAGTCACTGAGATTCAGGGCAGGGGAGAAAGTCTCTTGTCCATTTTCATTGTAATAATCTCCCTCTTCCATAAATATTTAATACTCCACTATATCTAGGTGATTAATTTTTATTTCATACTTACGTTTTTTTCTTTTCTACTTTTCAATTCCAAGTTTCCAACCAACAACTTCTATGTGTTTTAATTACTGTTTTAACTATATTCTTCTTTCTTTTTTCCTGACTTCTTTTTCAGGATTCAGAAAAAAAGTCCAATGTACTCCTATTTTTTCTGGAATTTAAGAAAATAAACTATTAGAATCCTACTAACTCCTTTCAGGCATACATTGAACATCTGGTCATGAGGGGGCCCCTGGTGACATTTAAGTATGCTAAATCTGCCTTCCTAAATTGCTCTTATTTTCTGCTCCAAATCTCCTGTTCTTTTTTCTTTTTTCAGTGAAAACCCCTTTCCTTGCTTAACATCAGCGTAAAGAACTATTTAGCATGTGTCTAGTTCAGTTTGAGTGCTATATAGCCATCCCAAAGATGCTCAGACATCACTTCTGCTCTGTAAAATATCCTGGTGCCCATAGTAAACCCATTCTCCAGCACTGGCAGGTGTCACTCAGTGGTTAGAGCATTGGCCCACGCACCAAAGGGTCATGGGTTCAATTCCGGGTCAAGGGCACGTACCTGAGTTGCAGGCTCCAACCCTGTCCCAGTAGGGGCACATGCAGGAGGCAACCAATCGATGTGTCCCTCTCACATCAATGTTTCTGTCTCCCTCCCCCCTCCCTCCCTTCTACTTTCTCTAAAAATCAATGGAAAAAATATCCTCAGATGAGGATTAAGAAAAACAAAGAAAAATAATTCTCCAGTACATAATGAACTCTGGTTTCTCTTCTTAAGTTTCCAAGGATTAAACTCTCTTTGATTTTCTTCTCTTTCCAAGGGAGGATTGTATGAGACAGTGAATGAGGTCTACAAACTGGTCATCCCCATCCTGGAAGCGCATCGAGACTTCCGGAAGCTGACCTGCACTCATGACAAGCTGCAGAAGGCCTTTGACAGCATCATTAGCAAGGTAGCTGGGGATCCTGGCCAACACAGTTACCTGGCAGCAGGTGACCCTGACCTAGAGATGCTTAGCCCTCCTTCCTCTCTAGGGAGTGATCTACCTTGAGCACATCATGACTCTAGTTCTCACCTTCCAAACAGAAAAGGGCTGGGAACAAACAAGAGCACTGACCCCAATTCAGAGTATGAAAGAAGGCTGCTCAAATTACTTCACAAGCCGGCAATGTGAGAATCTTTTAGATTCACTTAAAAGAAGTCCTAGAAATTTTTCATGGGATTTCTTTTGTTATTATTTCCAAAATTCATTTCATAAACATTAAAATTTTTAAGGCATGATTTCTGTTTATACTTTCCATAGAAACAAACTGCTTTATAACACAACAGTGAAAGACTCCCATCCTTGGCAATGCAATGAATCCTCTTGAAGTACAAAACTTAGGAGAGGTTTTCTTATTTTGCTCATTAGGGTCATAAGAGAATGTTTGGAACCTACTTCCGAGTTGGTTTCTATGGATCCAAATTTGGGGATTTGGATGAGCAAGAATTTGTTTACAAAGAGCCTGCAATTACCAAGCTTCCTGAGATCTCTCATAGACTAGAGGTAAGAAAAGTGACTCTGTGTGCATGGCCTTGAATACTTTACCAAAAAAGTTAGAGTTGGTCATTATGAAAAAAGACAGTCATGGATTTATCTTTGATATCTATATACATTTTCCCACATTGCATATATAATATGAAGGTATTAGGTGAGATCATGAGGTAAAGCAAGATTTGGATAGTTTTCTCCTAAGATTCTGTGTATGCTTGTCAATGTTTGTAAATTTATAGGGTGAATATTTATTTTCCAGACTATCCAAAACTCAAAGTCATGTACTTTCTTGTAACCCTTGCCAAATTTTAGTAAGAGATTTTCAGATTGAAGATTATTACCTTGACTTTGAAGTAATCCGGCCAAATGACTGAATTACCCTTTGAAAATGCTATGGCCATCCTTTTGGTATCCCTGGACAACACATCCCACTTCTGACACAGGGATGCTCACAGTAGCCACACATGGACTGTGGCATAATGAACTCTTCCTGCTGATCCAAGGAAAATAAGAGTCAGTATCACAACCCATGGGCTGGCAGCCCCAAGTTCAACCTGCTGGTACTACATATGTTCCAGCATGTAGCAGAAGGGAGCAGCATGTTCCTGGAGGAAAGGCTGAAGAAAAAGGGAAACAACATAAAGAAAAGTGAGGGGGAAAAAGGAAGCAAACATTTAAAGAGCTAAGCACCAAGAACTTAGGAGGAAAGTCAAGGAGTGCCCCCAAAACAAAACCCTCTCAGGGTGAATAACTGGGGTCCCCTGAAATGCTGACAGCAATTAACCAGAGATTCACTCCTCGCTATTGCTTTGCATTTAGGTCCCACTATGACTATAAAACTTAAAACACCTTTGTTGCCAAGTTTCTTCTCATACTATCTACTCATGCCAACTAAGACAAGGGACTTTAATCCTTACATGGCTCAAAGAAGCAATGGCCCAGAGTAGTTAGGTAACTTACCCAAAGTCATTGAGCTCATGAGGAGAACTAGCAATTGACCCCAGGATACTTGGCTTCTTAATGTTTCCCCAACTTAGGGCTAGAGGTATATAGTTGGTCTTCTTGTGCGCTGTGGTTTGTCACATTATGGAAAGGCTAGTGACCTCCAAGTTCCTAGGGTACAACAGGCAAGAAGTGAATAGTGTCATACCCCTGGAGCTGCTTCAGGAAATGTGATGGCGCTGGTTGCATTTGAGGTGAAGCATGCATACTGTACGGAAGCATGTATCGGTTTGCAATGCTGCACTTCCTTATGTTTTTACTTTTGTCTCAGGAAAGGCTGAACTTGCCTCATTAGATCAGAGGGACTTTCAGTGATCAGTAAGCAAGTTGTCCCTTACACTTGTTCCAACCTTATTCTACTTCTGAGAGATGAAGACTTGCATTACATTAAAATAACCTTTCTAATCTGTCGGTTTCTCTTACCTAGGGATTTTATAGTCAATGCTTTGGTGCAGAATCTGTGGAAGTGATAAAAGACTCTGCTCCTGTAGACAAAACCAAGCTGGATCCTAACAAGGTATGGGGATGTTTGCAAAAAATAGCCACCAGGCTCTGATTCCCTTTGCTCTACCCCAAGAACATAAAATGACCTCCTCTGGTGGGCTCTTCAAGTCATTTCAGTGCAGCCAACTCTTTCTGTCTAGGGTTCAACTGCTATTTGTTTAGCTCTTAAAGAAACCATACTCAAAGGTAGGAATCATAATAAAAGCTACTGCTTATTAAACACCAGCTCTGTACCTGGGACTGCATTAGGCCCTTTACATACATCATTGCATTCTCCGATGACCCTTTGAAATAGGTGTAGTTATTCCTATTGTACAGGCAAGAGAACTGAAGTGTGAAACGGTTAAGCAACTCTCCATGGTCACTCAAGTGCCGAAGCCAGTACTCAAACTCAGAGCCCTTCATCCTCAAAACCACACTCTTAATAAAACCCTCAATTTAAAACATGTTAAAAAGGTGCACCCGTTCTGGCTGGATGGCTCAGTTGGTTGGAGCATCATCCTGGATACCAAAAGGTTGCAGGTTGGATTCCCGGTCAGGTCACATACATGGGTTGCAGGTTCGATTTCTGGTCTGGGCATGTACGGGAGTCACCCAATCAATATTTCTCTCTCACATTGATGTTTCTCTGTCTCTGTCCCTCCCTCCCTCCCTCACCCCCTCTCTATCTTCCCTCCCTCCTTCCCTCCTTTCTTCCCTTCTTTTCTCTTCCCCCTCACCCCCCCCTTCTCTCTCCCTTCTCATTTCTAAAATCAATAAACATGTCCTCAGGTAAGGATTTAAAAAAATGATGCAACCTTCTCACTGACAACTTTTTCAGGCTGCAGGTAGTCCTTCCAGGCAAGTGCAGGCGAATGTGCTGTTGGGGTATGATGCAAAGGGCTTGGCGTTCAGTTTCCTCACTTCTCATGTGAGGGTGTGTCCTGTCTCACCCCTAACTAGGTGGACTACAGTACACTCGGACACTCACCACAGGAGTTCGCATCACACACCACCAGTGACAGGCTCAGTCCTCCATAGGACTGCTCTCACTTGAGACACCAGCCTCAAGTAGGGCCCCTGAGCTACCCACACTTCTATCCAGATGGCTACAAACCTGGACATTCCTGTTCACCCCTCAGATTAGATAATTCACTAGAATGGCACAAAACTCTGAAAAGTACTATACCGACACTGTGCCTAGAAACGCAAAGATCAGATATATTCTTTACTAGAGGCCCGGTGCACAAAATTCATGCACAGGTAGGGTCCCTAGGCCAGGCCGGAAATCAGGGCCGATCTGTGGGGCGACCGGTGGGACAATCGGGGGAGGCCCCCGCTGGCACCCACCCTGGCTGGCCTGGGGCCTGTGAGCTGGGGGCAGTTCCTGCATTAAGCGTCTTCCCCCTGGTAGTCAGTCAGCATCACAACGACCGGTCGATCCACTGGTTGTTCTGCCATTCGGTCTATTTGCATATTGGACTTTTATTATATAAGATTACACCACAGAAGGATGCCTCCTGCCCAGCCCATAGACATATGTTCATGAGAGAGCGTTCTAAACTGTTGGAAATAATGCAAGGTCAAGGAATTATTAAGGGTTGGGGACAGAGGAGCAGTTGCAATCTGGCAGGGCTACACGATGAAGAGTCCATACTCTTCTCCCAGTACTGTCCTCCAGGATATTAAGAAGATGATGCAAGTAGGGAGGAATGGGCCAAACGTAATACTTTGTTTTTCTGCATATTTCAGAAGACTTGCTCATTTTAGACACATCCCCTAGTCTAGGTTTGAAGCATTAACTGGTCAGACCTTAGCTAAGCTTCAGACAGAAATGTTTGAGGTCTTTGAAAGTGGGAATTGGCCGTGTGCCCACAATGATCTGTGCACAGCACATGCTCTGGAGAGTCACTGGTGACACCCCTGACACAAGGTGCTCTTCTTCCCTCTTTTAAAATGCCCTGAGTAGGTTGTAAGAGTTTAAATAAGAAACTGAACCCAGAATTATGACCCGATTTCATCACACTAAATAGTGATTTATGCTCTGAGATCAGTGACCTCACCCATCCATTTCAATGGGCGGGTGTTGTAAACGCTATGGTCATTGTCATTGTTTTAGTTTTTTAAAGAGACCTTCTTTCTTAGTTAAGTGCCCTCATTCACTCTGTGTGTGTGTGTGTGTGTGTGTGTGTGTGTGTTTTAATGGGGTACATGCAATAAAAATTGGCTCTTTTGGTGTTCTATGAGTTTTGACAAACACATGTAACCACCACCATGATCAAGATATGTAAGAGTTGCATCACCCCAAAGTATTTCCCTGTGCACCTCTGTGGCCATTTCCTCTCTTTGCTTTAAGCCCCTGCCAGTCACTGATCTGTACTCTGTCTCTGCAATTGTTCCTTTTCCAGAACGTCATGTCAATGACATTCTACAGGAAATCCATGGAATCCCACGATAGCCTTTTGAGTCTGGTTTCTTTCACTTAGCACAGCGCACTTGAGACTCATCCATGCTGTGGTAGTTTGATTCTTTGTATTGCCGAGTAGTATCCCATTGCCTGGATGTACCACCATTTGTTTATCCATTCCCCACTTGAGGAACATTTGGGTTGTTTTTAGTTTTGTCTATTCTGAATAATGCTGCTGCAGACATTTGTGTACAGGTTTTTACTTGAACATACGTTTCCATTTCTCTTGGGGATGCACGTGGAGTGGGATTGCTGGGTCGTGTGGTCAGTGTAATCTAACTGTTTGGTAAAGTGACTGTACCATTCTGCAGTCCCACCATCAGTGTATGAAAGTTTCAGCTGCTCCCCATCTTTGTCAGCACTTGGTGTTGTCAGTTTCATTTCGTTTGGCCATGCTACCAAATGTGCAGCAGTCATGGTTGTTCTGGGAAGGAACGTTTGTCTCTTTGGACTAGCAGTTTGCAAACTCTCATACCAAGTTCCAGTTGGCTCAGTCAGGAGGGGTGGCTTGTGGATGTGACTCTACAGAGACATACTGCCCTCTCCTTCTCGCTGTGCTGTCTCTCCCTGGGGTGGAGAGGAGGCCTGGCTGATTGCTGAAGTCTCCCCGATGCACTCAGCTTCTGTGGCCGTAGGGAACTCAGAGGGTGGTGCCTCGGCGCTGGTTCCAGCATGCCTCTCCAGTGCGTCCTGGCTGGCTGTTTGCAGAATCGCTCAACTCCTCCTTCCCCTACCTTTTCTCCCTCAGGCCTACATACAAATCACCTTTGTGGAGCCTTACTTTGATGAGTATGAGATGAAAGACAGGGTAACCTACTTTGAGAAGAATTTCAATCTGCGGAGGTTCATGTACACCACCCCCTTCACCCTGGAGGGGCGGCCGCGGGGAGAGCTGCATGAGCAGTACCGGCGGAATACCGTGCTGACCACCATGCACGCCTTCCCCTACATCAAGACCCGCATCAGCGTCATCCAGAAGGAGGAGGTAATGGTCCCCGCTGGGGATGGGCTCTGGACTGAGGCTGCCACCGAATGAGTGGGCAGCACAAGCCTCCTTCATGGCAGACGGGAGTGAAATCTAAAAAGGGACACACTGGAAATACCATTTTAGTGGCTGTTCTCTCATTCTTGTGGTGCCAGGGGATTCCATTGAGGCAGCTACATATTTCATAGCACTACTTTATATTTAAGTAGTTTCTATTTTAAAGTTCTATCTTTAATATAAATGTTTACAGAATTATAATTCAAATATGTATTTTAATGATACATTTGTATGAACTGTATATATTTACATTTTAAACACTTTGTATTAAGTCTTTATATCTGTAAAGGCTTACAGGTGAGTTAGGCGCAGTCGGGTGGTTAGTTATTAGAGACAGGAACGGCAGGCAAGCAGCCCCAGGGACAAGGGGTGAAGCTGGAGGAAGGGCTCCATGCAAAGTGGATAAGGAGGCCCACTGCCTCCCAGACCCAGCTTCCTCCTGCGACATTGCTCAGCCCCCTGTCTTCATTCAGTTTCCTCATCTGCACACTGACAGGAAGGACCCCTCTCTCTTCTGGGGTTCTGTGTATGGGAGACGTCTCATCCATGGGACTGATCAAGAAAGTATCTCAGGCCACAGATCGTTCAAAATTAACCGTACTTTAAACATTTTAGTTTTACTTTAAAACACATCCATGTACACTTATTTGTCATTTATTTTATACAGGGCCAAACCTTCTCTGTGATTTGGGGTTGGGCTATCACAATTCAGCATTGTCTTATGTAAACCCCACCCATAATGCACTGTCTGTAACTTTCAGTTTTTATTTATATAAAGCAGAGTGAGAGTTTAAAGATCCTTGCTGGCAGAATCCTCCTGGATTTTTATGAATTTTTTTTAACCCTAGCCTTTTATAGTTGTCTTGTGCACACCTAATATGGCAGGAATTTTTATAGCAACTACTTTTCATAATGCTTTGCCCAAGCAATCAGCTTGGTTTTCATAGAAACAACTCTTTCCCTTTCCACACCCATAGTTTGAGCATTATTAGATTAGGTCATTCAAATAACAAGTATAACAGGCATAATCAAGTTGGTTAATAAACACAGGTGAATTGTGATGACTACACACCCACCGGGCAGAAGCAGAAGTGACTGAGCTCACTGGAGAGTGGCCCACATGCTCAGGTGTTCAGCAAGCGCATCAGATAGTGGGTTTCACAAGGGCAAGGAAAGCCTGAACTAGTGACTCCGTTAAGAGGAGGATGGTTTCGAAGGCATCTGCTGTATTTCTTATTGTTTTGGACTTTGGAACACTAGGACATAAAGGCATAGCACAAAAATAAACCCATGGTCCCAAGAGGAGCCTTTATAATTTTTCTTGGCCATCTGTTGTTCTCTGAGAACTTCAATATATTCGTTAGGGCTGTTTTAACAAAGTCCCACATTGCGTAACTCAAATAACAGAAGGGATCTGCTGTATTTATTGCCTCCTAGTTCTGAAGGCCAGAAGTCAAAATTCAAAGTATTGGCAGGGTTGGTTCCTTGTGAGGGCTGTGAGGGAAGGATCTGTTTGAGGCCTCTCTCCTTGACTTGTAGATGGCCACCTTCTCCCTATGTCTTCATATTATCTTCTCTCTATGCATGTCTCTGGGTCCAGATGTCCTCTTCTTATAGGGACATAGGTCATACTGGATTAGGGCCCTTCTTAATGTCCACCTTTAACTTGGTTACCTCTGTAAAGACCTTATCTCAAATAAGGCCACATTCTGAAGTACTAGGGCTTAAGACTTTGATATACAAACTTAGGGGGACATGAATTCACTCATAACATTCAGGAAGGATCATATCCTAAACCAGCAGAACTTAGCAGCCAGCAGATTGACCCTTAAGAGAATTCTGTTTACCAGGACATTCAGGAAGGATCATATCCTAAACCAGCAGAACTTGGCAGCCAGCAGATTGACCCTTAAGAGAATTCTCTTTACCAGGAATGCAATGCACCTTCAGGGTAGTTGGAGAAGGCACACCTGATGCCAAAATCTTGCGTTATAGTGGGAAAGAAAATCTTGAGTGCTCTATTTTTAATAGCATGGATTTTAAATGTAGACATTATTACGATCAGATTCTGGCCTTCTCGCTTACTACCTGTGTCATTTTTATGGCACTGTCTTCACCTTACAACTCCCTCTTGGACTATAAAATGGAGAAAATAAGGAGGTTGTTTAAAGGAGTAAATAGTAAGCGTATGCAAAGTTCTTGGAACATAATAAGCCTGAGACCTAACATGAAGCGAGTCATGAGAAGTCTAGAAGTCAGACATACCTGTAGCAGGAACAGCAAGTGCAAAGGCTATAAGGGAAGACCAAGCTTGCTGTGGACACAAGAGGCTGATTTGGCTGGTGAGCAAGGAAGGTGAGGCACAAGGTAGGCAAGAGCAAGACGGGGTCCTGGTCTCAGAGTTTTACTTTACCCAGAGGGGCAGTGTCCAGCTTGGTATGGTCCCTGGTGTGACTTGAGCCTTGTCTCCTCTTGCTGTGCCCTCGCCCTGGCTTGTCTTATTCACACCTAGGCCTCAGTTACTCTGGTGCAGCCCAGGTCTCTCTCCTGCCCTCCAGACTTTCATTTCTGGCCCCTTCCCTGTGGTAAATGGCTCCTTCTTGTACTCAAGGTCTCAGGTCAAAGCCTGGGGGATCCTCCATGAGAACTGCCTCCAACATCCAATTGATCCCTGAATCATGATGCTTTACCCTAGATCAGTGGTTCTCAACCTTCCTAATGCCGCGACCCTTTAATACAGTTCCTCATGTTGTGGTGACCCCCAATTTCATTGTTACAAATTGAACATAATTTAAGCATAGTGATTAATCACAAAAACAGTATGTAATTATGTGTTTTCCAATGGTCTTAGGCAACCCCTGTGAAAGGGTCATTCAACCCCCAAAGGGGTCTCGACCCACAGGTTGAGAACCACTGATCTAAGGAGTAGCATTTTCTGACTTGGGACCAGACTCAGCAATATGATTGAGACCTGGGGTCCTATTGAAGAATGCTTAGTCATGACCAATTTAGCCAGAGTTGTTGCAGGGCTTGAGGCTAATCTAAGAAACCTGTAGGAGAATGAGGAAAGGGTCTGGAACATGCAACTGCTGGGTCAGTCATCAGATGAAGCCAGCATGCCAGGAGCCTTGCTAACTAGGAGTGACCTGGGATCAGGCTTCTTGGGCCACTTTAGACCAGACTGGATCTTCTCAGACCCATTAAAATCCTGACTCCCAAATTCAGCATGGATTAATTAACCCAGTCTCAGATGGAGGAAGATGCCAGCTTAGTACTCTGTCCAATGGACCACTTTAATTTCAGATCTAAATCCGCTCTTGTCCACACCTCCATACTCAGAAACTCTTGAGCACTGTGACTCTTTCCTCACTCAACACAATTGGACTCCCCTGCAAAATTCTGTGTCCACATAACGTCAAGGGAACAAAAATAGCCGAGAGGAGAAATGACTATTATATTTCCAAGATCAGAAAGTATTAGGAAGCTTTTGCTTTTGTAAGTCTCAATCCTTTGATGAAAATAGAAGACTGTATCAGCCCACAACCGTGGACTACATATGTACTCTACATTCCCCTCTAGGGCAACTGAGCAAATGAATCTGAATGGAAGGAGCAAGACAATCCCCGTTTTTAGAAAAGCAACTCAAAACACATACTCTTCGATGTAGTATTGTTATCTTTATATATGCAAGGCAACCTATTATTAGTAGCATTTGATTAAGAAAATACATTTATGCTTCTGAGTATTCTCTGAAAACTCCAGACTCCTCCTTGAGAATCAAAGATCCCTGAAGAGTTTAAGACCTCCCTTTATATTTTTATTTGTTCTGATCAAACCAACTACAAAATTAAATGTTCAAATTAAGAAATCGTGCCAAGATTTTCTTCCAAGTAATGTCGTTTTATTTCCAATGTGAGTATTATTTTCCTACTTTCTCCTTCAGGGACCACTGGAAGTAGCCCAAGTGTTTTTGGCCGAAATTCCAGCTGACCCAAAACTCTATCGACATCACAACAAGTTGAGATTATGCTTTAAGGAATTCATCATGCGGTAAGAAGGGAAATGGCCAGGAGTTCAGTAGAGCAGAGGTTCCCAAAGTGTGGTCCCCCGGCCAGCAGTGTCAGCAGCACCTGAGAACTTGCAGCAAAGGCAAATTCTCAGGCACCAGCCAGACCTACTGAATCAGAATCTCCAGTAAAACTCACCCAATTCAGTAAAACTCATCGACATGTACATTTACAATTGGTAAATGTTATGATCTGTCAGTTGCAACCTCAATACTAGTGGTAGGTGTGGAGCCTTCCTTTCCCCTCATTGTTTAATTGCTTCTCAGGTCCAATCGGCATGTGACAGCTTTTTAATGAATAGAGTAACGATTTTGTCCAGTGGTTTGCATCTTGTTATTTCTGCCCCGCCCCCCCTTCTTTCAGGCAGCAGAGGTGAGCCAGGAGTGGAAAATGTCTGGGGGAGTGAGCAGCACTCAGGTTTTCCCTCGAGTGAGCCCCAGCTTCTCTGCAGACTTGGGCTGCAGGTCGATGAGCCCAGATATGCAGGGTGAACATAAGTGCACCTTCCGACACTGACTGCTAATAGCGGAAATGTTCGCGGGCCAGGCGCACTGCAGCGGGTCCTGGCCTTTCTGACTCAGCCATAAAGAAGCTGGCAGGCCCACTGCTGCAGCCCGTTCTGCAGCTCTTCAGATGGCTGCCAAGTTGGGACTTCAATCCCCTCCTACCTTTTCCTACGATAAGAAAAAACACCTCAGGGTTTCAGGACCCAAGATGGACAGATACAACATTCTGTTTCCGCCCCTTCTCCCCAAAGCACCAAAACCCTTTTAGACACTGCAGTTGGAGCCAATCTGTGTTTAAATTTCTTCTTATATTTCTGTCTTGGTCAGCTTCGGCTGGTCTAACAAAATGCCATAGATCGAGTGACTTGAACAATAGCCATTGATTTCTCACAGTGCTGGAGGCTGGGAGGCCAGGATGAAGGTGTCAGCAGATTCAGTACCTGGTGGGGACCCTCTTGCCATCTTATAAATGGCCACCTTCTCCCTGCATCCATCTTACTGTGGAGACAGTAAGAGGGAGAAAGCTCTCTGGCATTTCTTCTCCTAAGGCCATTCATCCATCATGTGGATCTAACCCTCATGGCTTATTCTTCTTTCATCTATAATAATAAAAGCATAATATGCTAATTAGACCAGACAGCCGAACAACCTTCCGAACGTCCTTCCGGATGAAGCCGTGGCGGCAGGGCCAAGGCAGAGGCAGTTAGGGGCGATCAGCCAGGCAGAGTGGTTAGGGGTGATCAGGCAGGCAAGCGAGTGGTTAGGGGCAATCAGACAGGCAGGCAGACAAGCAGTTAGGAGCCAGTGGTCCCAGATTGTGAGAGGGTGCAGGCTGGGCTGAGGGACTCCCCACACCCCATGTACAAATTTTGTGCACCAGGCCTCTAGTATATATATAAACTTACACTATTCTAGAAACCAGCAAAATCATTAAAGATTTTCAGTAGTAGAATAACATGTTGTATTACATCATTTCCTTTTCCAGTTAGAAAAAAGAAGATCCCATCCCTAAGGCTTGTAATTTACAGCATACAATTGACTGGCAATGTTACTTAACCATCCTGACTAGATTTTAGCAGTTTTCAAACCCAAAAGAAAAGTTCTGAAAATGTGAGGGTGTGAAGAAAAAGGACCCCTCTTGCACTGCTGGTGGGAATGCAGACTGGTGCAGCCACTGTGGAGAACAGTATGGAGTTTCCTCAAAAAATTAAAAATGGAACTCCCATTTGACCCAGTAATCCCACTTCTAGGAATATATCCCAAGAAATCAGAAACACCAATCAGAAAGGATATATGCACCCCTATGTTCATAGCAGCACAATTTACAATAGCTAAGATTTGGAAACGGTTTAAGTGCCCATCAGCAGATGAGTGAATTAGAAAACTGTGGTATATCTACACAATGGAATACTATGCTGCTGTATAAAAAGAAGGAACTCTTACCATTTGGAACAGTATGGATGGAACTGGAGAACATTATGCTAAGTGAAATAAGCCAGTTGCAGAAAGACAAATATCACATGATCTCACTCATTTGTGGAATATAATGAACAACATAAACTGATGAACAAAAATAGAGCCAGAGTCATAGAAGCATCAAACAGACTGTCCAATCTAAGAGGGAAGGAGGGGTGGGTGAGGGGCAGGGAGGGGGGAAAGAGATCAACCAAAGGACTTGTATGCATGCATATGAGCATAATCAATGGGCACAGACAGTAGGGGGGTGAGGGCATGTGCTGGAGGGTGGGAGTGGCTGGGGAGAGGTCAATGGGGGGAAAAGGAGATTTAAGTAATACTTTAAACAATAAAGAATTTTTTTAAAAGTCTGTTCCTCAATACCTACAGTAAAAAGAGGATATGGTAAATAAACTTCCATAATTACTAAGAGCTAAATTTTAAGTTTCAAAATGTACCCTTTCTGATGCATTTAATGTATTTCACCTTTAGCCTAAAGTGAATGCTAATTTTTCCACACATTAAATCCTCCCTTGATTTGCTCTTCCATAACAAATTAATTTTTTTGATCTGTGAACAGCCTGAGAGAAGTTATTGTCCATGTATTTATAGAAAGTTCATCAAACAGGAGATTTTGGCACTTTGGGAAATACAATATCTTAGTTTAAGGATTTAAACTAAGCATTTAAAGATGAGAAAACAGGATTCCAATGGCTGTCATTGCACTGAGGAGTAGCGACTGGGTTTCAACCCCATCTCTGACTGCATGTAAAGCATTTAGCCCAGGCTAGGGCAGATAGTACATAGTATATGTTAGCTAGCTATTGTTCCTTTTGATAACACAGACTACAGAGGATTTAGTTAATTTTACCTTTGTGTTAGAGTAGACATCCTCAAGTTAGCAGTCAGCTCTCGCCGGCCTCTTGTAGCCATACTGTGCTACAAACCTGGGCCTCAGAGTCACCCTGAAACTGACTGTATTTTACATATGTAGTAGCTCCTAACTGTCCGTTAAGAAGCCATAAAAAATAACAAGAGCGATGTCGATTTCTCAGGATTCAAAGGCTACATGCCCTTCCTTCCCCTTCCTTGAAACCTTAGATATCCTACAATTTGCTTCAATTAATGTCAAACTTAAAAGATGAATAAAAATCCAGTTAAGGGAGTTCTTTTGGCTCCTGGCTGAGTTAAATCAACTTCATGTTCCACAGTGGGCTAATTCTGTGATGAAGCTACGGCCATAGATTTATTTTTGCCTGAGCCAGATAGCTTTCCCCTGCCCCACTGTCATCCTGAAAATGTGTGCAGTGGTAACAGGAAGAATTTGATAATCAGGTCTGAGTATCCCCATAACTTAAGTGAAATTTAGCACCATTGTTAGGAAAACAGTTTAAACCACGTCGATCACCGGAATCCTAGTCATCTGAAGGATGACTAAATTTCACCCATTATGTTATCCCTTCAAGGTTTGTTGATTTGTAAGTTCCCTCGAGTAGAACAGTATAAAGGGCAAGATTTATTATGTTTAAATAATATGAGTTTCTTCCTTGGTATATACCATACTGTGGGAAACCATGAAAAAACTAGGCTTGACTGTCCACAAGTTCAATAAACACAAGTTTGTGTTTTTTATGTTTTATTGATTTTTTTAGAGAGAGAGGGAGAAGGAGAGAGAGCTAGAAACATCAATGAGACAGAAAAATCGATCAGCTGCCTCCTGCACACCCCCTCCTGCACACACCTCCTGCAACTCGGGCATGTACCCTCACTGGGAATCAAACTGGTGACTTCTTGATGCATGGGATTGATGCTCAATCCACTGAGCCATACTGGCCAGGCAATAAACCCAAGTTTTTAATATTTTTTCTTTAATGCTCTGCAGGTTCACCATGGTGGGGCTAGGTATCGGTCTGCTTTTGTTGATTAGAGAATTTCTGTCTCTTTTCAATTCTGGAAAATTATCAGCTGTTATCTTAGAATATTGCCTCTTACTCGTTTTGCATTCTTTTAAACTTTCTTTTAGATGTGGATCGGGCATCTCTATGGTATCTCCAGATTTTTCAACCATTTTTTTCATATTTAAAATTTTTTTTTATCTCTTTGATGGTTTCCTTAGATCTGTCACATAGTTCATGAGTTCTCCAGTTGTGTTTAGTTTATTGTTTAACTGTCCATTGAGATTTTTCTCTTTATTTTAGTGACTACATTTTTATTTCTAGAAGTTCTATTTGGTTCTTTTCTGAAATTTTCCTGGTCTCTTTTTTCATACTCTTCCACTTTTTAAATCATGGATTTTATACCTCTTCTTAGACATCTATATTAACTTTAGTTTTTCTACATTATTCCATTGTCTCTGATTCTTATTGGGGTAATTCTCCTCCTTGTTACATCTGTTGGTTCTCCCTCATGGTAGTTGGTTTCCTCGGTGGTTTGTAATTTTTTATTGTGAGTTCATCTTTGGTAAGGGTTGTTCTATCAAGGGGTAGCCCATGGGCCCTGATTAAGAAACTGTTCCTCCAAAGCAACCTTACATCTATTCCCATCTAAGCCTTAGGTATTTTAATAATCTTGGTCTGGTTTTATAGTTAATGAGAGCACCCACAAGAGAGGAATGTAAATTAGTAACTCATACCCACATGTGGTACAAGCCTAGAATTTCAGTTTCTTTAGGTGACTTTCTTTCCTATTAATGGCCCCAAGCTGATAATAAACTTCCATTCCACCTCTCTGGACAGTTTGCAGCCTTTTTCTAGACCCTTTCTCACAGATGGGGTAGCTTTTCAGAGCTCTGAACTATTAGCAGGTGGCATATGCAGAATCCCACTTTGCCCTGGCCAAGGCTTCCTCACTTACCTTGTGTGGGCATTGAAACCCACCTCCTGCTCCAGCCTCCAGGGCCTGTAGGCAATCTTAGCATCCTAACAGGCGGTCCTCCTTGCGTCTGCCACGGCACCAGCTTCTGCTGTCACTTTGATTTTGCTTTTTCTCTTCCTTTCTGGCACCTGGGGTTTCCCCTTCTCTTTCAACAAATGTTTGCTGTGCTTTCTCAGCATTTCCATGTGTAGGTAGCAGGAGGGGCCTGAATGGCACCTGCTGTGTCTGCCCTGTCACCATAAATCACAGGGACGTTTTGTGAGCATAAGAGGTTCCATTCTTCAGTGACCTGAGTTTGAATCTTGGATCCACCACTTCCTCACAGTGTTATCTTCGGCAAGCAACCTAACATTTTTGAGCTTCAGGGACAACATAGAGATAAACATAGACTTCCCAGGTTTGCTGAAAAAATTAACCAGATAATGGATGTGAAGTTCCTTGAATAGCGCCTAGCACATAGTGAATCAGAGCATCAGTATCGCCTGGGCAACTTTTCAAAAATACAGATTCCCTCCAGGGCCTGTAGGCAATCTTAGCATCCTAACAGGCGGTCCTCCTTGCGTCTGCCACGGCACCAGCTTCTGCTGTCACTTTGATTTTGCTTTTTCTCTTCCTTTCTGGCACCTGGGGTTTCCCCTTCTCTTTCAACAAATGTTTGCTGTGCTTTCTCAGCATTTCCATGTGTAGGTAGCAGGAGGGGCCTGAATGGCACCTGCTGTGTCTGCCCTGTCACCATAAATCACAGGGACGTTTTTGTGAGCATAAGAGGTTCCATTCTTCAGTGACCTGAGTTTGAATCTTGGATCCACCACTTCCTCACAGTGTTATCTTTGGCAAGAACCTAACATTTTTGAGCTTCAGGGACAACATAAAGATAAACATAGACTTACCAGGTTTGCTGAAAAAATTAACCAGATAATGGATATGAAGTTCCTTGAATAGCGCCTAGCACATAGTGAATCAGAGCATCAGTATCGCCTGGGCAACTTTTCAAAAATACAGATTCCTGGGTGCTGCCCCTGAGAGATTCTGATTCATCAAGTCTGAGGTGGGGCCAGAAATCTGCATTTTTAAAAGCTACCTAGATGATCCTGATAGGCTGTCAAGTTTGCAAACACTCCGAGGGTTACTCAAGAAATGTTAATTGAGCCCTAGCAGGTTTGGCTCAGTGGATAGAGCATCGGCCTGCGGACTGAAGAGTCCTGGGTTTGATTCCAGTCAAGGGCACATACCTTGGTTGCAGGCTGGATCCCTGGCCCTGGTCAGGACATGTATGGGAGGCAACCAATCGATGTGTCTCTCTCACATCGATGTTTCTCTCTCTGTCTCTCTCCCTTCCACTCTCTCTAAAGATCAGTGGAAAAATATCCTCAGGTGAGAATTTATAGCGACAACAACAAAAAAGTTAATCATATCGTCATCCCTTATTTCTAAATGCTTCAAACACCTATGAAATGAAACCTCATTTTCTCCCCACCCTGATATGTGTATCTCAGATGTGGTGAGGCCGTGGAGAAAAACAAGCGTCTCATCACAGCTGACCAGAGGGAATATCAGCAGGAACTCAAAAAGAACTACAACAAGCTGAAAGAGAACCTCAGGCCCATGATCGAGCGGAAAATTCCAGATCTCTACAAGCCGATATTCAGAGTTGAAAGTCAAAAGAGGTAAGAGCTGGCGGAGAAGGCCTCTTCCTGGGGTAAAGGATAAGGGCTTGGGGCCCAGCAACAGGGCACACTCCACTGCACACGGGCTCAGAGGGAGGGCTGGGAGTGGGCTAGAGTCAGGGGAGCTGCCTGAGCTCAGTCTGTTCTGCTTCCATCCTGATCCCCCCTGTCCCTTCTCCTAACCTCACTGGGACCCCTCCTGCTGGCTGTTGGCCAGCCGTCTTCCCAGGCTGACTTACCGCCCGCCCGTGTATTTTCTGGCACAGTGTGAAGGGATCTCACACCTTCTCTTATTAGTTACTGAGTACCCCGTGATTGATGTCCTTTTCTAGTGGGTGATTTCCCCTTCCCTCTCTTTCAAAAGCGAATTGATCTTTCTTACCTCTGTTTTCTTTTTCTCTCTCTCTCCTTAATTTCAGAGACTCCTTCCACAGATCTAGTTTCAGGAAATGTGAAACCCAGTTGTCACAAGGCAGCTAAGAAAGGCTGTCTACACCCACGGAGACTGAGGCTCTGCGACCCCAGACAAGGACTCACCGGTACTGAAACCACTGGACGTTGGCCACGCAGGACAGACTCATGCTCCCTGGCCAGACAGCACTCTAGAAGATTTGGGGTCCAAGTGACCCCATGGGGTATTTTTTCCATTTGGGAGGGGGGGTGAGGGTAGCCGAGGGTGGTTAATCAGAATGCCTGTGTATTTATTAAAGAATCGTTTTCCACAGTGTTGAACAAAACAAGTCATACACACATCTCCTGCTGAGTGATCAGTTATTGTCTACCTGGAAGGTGACTTTCCTCTGGCCCGTATTAGGATTTAGAGGATCAATCCAAATTTCCCAAGGGAAAATGGAAAAGTTGCCCACCAGCCTATTCGAAGTGAACCTCATTCATCCCCTCTTTATGGGAAAAGAGGGTGAGCGTGCAGGGGTGCAAACCATGTTCAACAAATCTATGAGGGCCTTAAGGATCTAAGAATCATGATGGTTGGAAACTTGGGGACAGATTAATTATTTGTGAACTCGTTACCCTTTTGGTAGCGGTGAACTATTGTTATACAGTTGTTTTTGCTTTATTGTTACTGGTAAGTTAATTTAACCTGTGTTTCTAGAGGAACACACTCGCACTGATTTAGGAGATACATGGTACTCTGAGCGGCATTCCCTTAAATTGAAACCATTTTCCTGGTGCTTTGCATTTTTTCTTATGCTCCAACTTGCTCATTCTTTCTCTCCTCCTCAGTGGGACCAAGTTTATCTTTATAAAAGGGTAATATCTCTGCTTTCATATCGGCACACTGTGCTGTACGCTAGCATATGCATATCACATACAGTCTTCTTTGACTTCTTGTGACAATGTACTTTAGGAGAAAGATGAACAAAATTATTATTTGAGAATTAAATTATATATTTTTAATATGACTGATTACCTTGACTGGTATTAAAAATGTACTAAGAGTTGTAAACAAAAAGTTTCCCCTTGCAACTTGTGCTTTTTGTACTGACAACTCGTAATGCTTTGTACAGCACTTCAGAGATGAAGAAACATGGGTGACTGTGGCCTTGGCCAATCAGTGCTGTCCAGGGTCGGACCTCTTCTGCAATACTTATTCTTGGTGCTCCTGAGACAGAATTTAATTTGGATATGCCAGAACTTTTTGTTTATATCATCAGGTCTGCATGAATTTATATCTGGAGAGGGACTTTTTTTTGTTTTTAATTACTAAAGCTTAAGTTTAAGTGACAAACTTTGTTTTTTAAGCATTCAGGGCAGAACTCTTTTTAAACTATATTATATACTTAATTGCTTTCTTAAATGAGTATACATGATGTATATTTCATATCATTCCATATGTTGTTTAGTATCTTCTGTGTGGGAACTCCTGAGTGAGATGAAGGTTAAATACCATTGTCACTACCCTCCAAAGTGTCTCCATTTAGTGAGGAAGAGGCTCTGTATGCGATGTGTATAGCCGTAACACACAGCAGTCTACAACAGGCCTATGGAATATAACGTTTCCTGGGGGACTCGGGATGGCCATCATTATCAGCACCTATTCTATTCTGCTCTCAAACAACAGGCTTAGGTGCTAAGTTATAGGGGGCTGGCTTTTAATGCTGCAAGCCCTAATAATCCTAATAACCTAAGATATTCCTGACTAAATGTCCCTGCTTTTAGATACCTGTTGGTATCTTTTTTTACACAGTTGGTGCCACTTGCTGCCCAAGTGCAGGAACTGTGTTCACTGCTGCATTGCTGTTCCCTGGCCCAGTGCTCATCACACAGAAGATCCTCAATAAATACTGGTTGAATGACTAAGTGAATAAGTGAGTGTAAGGAGGCCTGCTTCTAGAACAGCACTGTCCAATGAAACATAGTGCAAGCCACATTAAAAATAATCATAAAAAGAAATAAGTGAAATGAGTTTTAATACTATGTTCTATTTAACCTCATATATGCAAAATATTGTCATTTCAAAATGCAATCAATATAAAAATTATTGATGAAGTATTTTACATTCTTTCATACCAAGTCTTTGAAATATGTATATATATTTTACACTTACAGATTTTACATTTAACACTTAATATCAATTAAGGCTAGCCACATTCGTATATATATTTTACACTTACAGATTTTACATTTAACAATATCAATTAAGGCTAGCCACATTTCAAGTGCTTAAGAGCCACATGTGGCAGGTGGCTACTATCCTGGACAGTCCAATTTTCAAAGCTTTAATTTCATGCCTCCTGTCCTTCAGCAAGGTAAAGGGTGCAGTTGTCACCATCTCTTAAGAATCTCGGGAAAATGAAACATGAATATACTGCATAGACCTGATTGGACTTTCCTGACATACATTGTCTTAAAGTCTATAATTCTATTCGGTCCTATCCATGACAACAGATTTATTTTTACAAAAACCTTTTAGGGCTGGCATTGGTCCTTATGATTGCACATCAGTAGTCAAAGACAGGGAGCCTTCATGACATGACCACTTACTTCCCTCAGGGTGAGTCGTTCAAGAGAAGCAAGACAGAAGTGGCAATATCTTTTATGGCCTAGCCCAGCCGTGGGCAAACTACGGCCCGTTTGAAATGAATAAAACTAAAAAAAAAAAAAAGACTGTACCCTTTTATGTAATGATGTTTACTTTGAATTTATATTAGTTCACACAAACACTCCATCCATGCTTTTGTTCCGGCCCTCCGGTCCAGTTTAAGAACTCATTGTGGCCCTCGAGTCAAAAAGTTTGCCCACTCCTGGCCTAGCCTCAGAAATCACAGTCCCTCATGTCTGCCAGAACAAACCACCAAGATCAGTCCACATCCCAGAGGAGGAGAATTAGGCTCTAAATTTTGAACAGAGGACTGTTAAATAACTTTAACATATTTTAAAATAACCATAATAGTGTACATTAAAATTCTGTATTTGTTGTCTCACTGGGATAAGTGGACAAAACGACTTGCCGCTAGAGATGACCAGCCTTGGAGCTCTGGCTGCTCTGAGTCCCTCCCAGAAGGCTGGGTGATCACCCTCAAGAAACATCTACAACCCAGACCACTGCTACACCCTTGGCAAGCCCTACCCTAAGGATAGCGATCTTTTATAAGAGACAGAAAATCAAACTTAAATCAGTATTTTAAATGGGTGGTTGAGTTCATTGGCTCACTTAGTTGAATAATCCAGAGGTAGTAATGGTTCAGACCCACTTTGATTCGGGACCCACTCATCATCTCAAGAAACATCTACAACCCAGACCACTGCTACACCCTTGGCAAGCCCTACCCTAAGGATAGCGATCTTTTATAAGAGACAGAAAATCAAACTTAAATCAGTATTTTAAATGGGTGGTTGAGTTCATTGGCTCACTTAGTTGAATAATCCAGAGGTAGTAATGGTTCAGACCCAGTTTGATTCGGGACCCACTCATCATCTCCTGATCCATTTCATCTCTGCTTCCTCTTGGTTGGCTCCATCCCCAGGCTTTCAGCAGTGGTCCCTGGAAATTCCAGGCTCATTCATCATAACAAATGCAGTCCTGAGCCTCACAACCTCATACCACCAACTTCCACAAAGAGGAAAAGTTCTGTATTCCAGAATTCCCAGTAAAATTCCTTGGGTTCACTCTAATTGGAGTGGTTCATGATAAGCAAGCTTCTCTCCTTGCATTATAAGTGGGATCAATAACAACTCAGTCCACATGGCTAAGGAACTGGCAGTTCCGCAGGGAATGAGGAAGAGTGGCTAAAGCAGTGGTTCTCAACCTGTGGGTCGCGACCCCTTTGGGGGTCGAACGACCCTTTCACAAGGGTCGCCTAAGACCATCGGAAAACACATATATAATTACATATTGTTTTTGTGATTAATCACTATGCTTTCATTATGTTCAATTTGTAACAATGAAAATACATCCTGCATATCAGATATTTACATTACGATTCATAACAGTAGCAAAATTACAGTTATGAAGTAGCAACGAAAATAACTTTATGGTTGGGGGTCACCACAACATGAGGAACTATATTAAAGGGTCGCGGCATTAGGAAGGTTGAGAACCACTGGGCTAAAGGATGGAAAACAAACCACAAGAGCTCTCTGAAGGACATTTTGCTTTAAAGAAAACGCATCCAGAAGAAGGAGCTTGTGTGGACATAAGGATTACAGTTCATTTCATATCATGTTCACAAACTCCGGCCTGGTAGGACCATCCCCTGGAAGGGGAGTAAAGGGGATCTGAAGTATATGAAGGAGAACCCTAGGGCTTATCATATCCTGAAGAAGAGTGTGGACTGAGAGAGATGGAGCAGGGTGTTTTCCCAAACCAGTAATTCATACTCTGGAGTGTTTTGCCAAAACAGTGCAAATGGTTCAGGAATCAGAACTATAGAGGTGAGGGGGAGGAAAGGGGGGACTGGGAGGCAAATGAGGGGACTAGGGGAATGGAATAAGATTAGATCTGAGTGGGAAGAGTCAAATATCAAAATTGTCTTTTGCTCTTCATTGTATCCCCAGCACCTGGCCCATAGTGGACACGCAATGAATGCGTGCAAAAGATCAAGGTATTGAATGGAGGTGGCCCTCAGGGATGATTTCAGCAAGGCTGTTGCTTTTCTGTAGTTCTGGGTTAAAAGCTGCTCTTTAAAGAGGAGGAGGATGGTCAACTGGCCACAGAGGAATAGCCTTCCAGTTCCTGTTGACTTTACCTATTATCACTGCGTAAACAAGAATTAAGAGGATTCCCCCCGCCCCTCTTTTCTGGTGCTTTCCCTTGAATCATCCTAGACCTTATCCTTAATAACCTTAAACCCAACCGCACAGAGCCTGATTCAAAAGCCAAATCTCTGCCGGTCACTAACGTCTTCAGCCTTGGAATTACTGGAGGAAATGCAGCACAGTCCCGGGTGGGATGATCACATTCCTGAGCCCTAAGACCTTGATGCTGGAACACATCCTGGGGAGCATGGCTGTCCCTGGAATGATGCTACTGAATCCAACCCAGTTCCTGTTTGATGACGATCTTTGTGACATTAGCTTGACAGCAGAATGGCTTCCACCTTCACTATTCTCCCCACACATCGGAAGACAGCAAATCACCGGTAGCTAGGAAGGATAAGGGCGTGATTTTCAAGGTGGTATAGCCCTAAAGGATACAGGTGAGAAACCAGCTCCCCTGCCTCTTATAAGTTCCTCTATGCAACGAGAGAACAAGGCATGGGTGAACAAATTTTTCTGTCATCCAACAGGTTATTAGTGAGATTTAAAAAAGAAAAAAGAAAAAAAAATGGTGACTTCCAAAAGCCCCTGGACCACAAACTCTGGCCAATCCCCTATACCTGTCTAAGCTTCAGGATTTTTCCCTATGAATAGGGATAAGAGTGCCTCTATCTTCTTCCAACCTGCTGTGGAAATCCCGTGAGATGATGAATTCCTGGGAATGTGTTTTGTAAATCAAAAGTGCTGTCCCAAATGTCAGGCAGCACTGTGTACAACGGACACCTCCAGAAAGTTTCACCAGGCCCCACACAGTTGCAGCCGCCCAGGGCAATGTTTAAGTAAAAGCAGGCCAAAGGTGCAGGCAGGACAGAGGCCTGAGGCGCCAGAAAACAAGAGCCTGGTCTATTCACCTTGCAGCGGCAGTGTATACACTGTGTGCCTGGCAAGGGCCAACAGCAAGGGCCTTCAGGAAGGAAGAAAGGCTATCAGTGGAACTGACTGGGTACGCAAGGCGCCTGGAAACCCAATCCCACCCGGCTTCCCTTCTCACCGGCCCGCGTTCCCAGTGCATTCCTCTGGGAAGTCAATACACTGGTTCCACCAGCCCCGCTGCGTCCCCAGGCTGCTAGTGCTCTCTGAGGAGATCAGAGCCGACTGACTTCCACCTGAAACAAAGCACTGAGCAGCAAGTTTCCTGCAGCACTAAGGAAGCAAGGACTTAGCAGCCACGACGGATTTGCAACAATAAGCTGACATTGCTCCTTTGGAAGCCCGGAGTTTGTCTGGGGCCTCCCAGGCCCCACTCCATTGGCTCCAACTTTGCAGCCAGGACGAGAATGTCTCTAGGTGCCTATTAAGCAAAAAGTTTCTAAAAAAGGATTGTGCAGAGCCCAACCATTAAGAGACTCATTGGCCCTAATCCACCGATGATTGAGCGAAGGGTGCTCCAGCAAGTGCAGCGGTTTAGATCAGTGGTTCTCAACCTTGGCTGCACATTAGAATCACCGGGGAATCTTGTTAAAATCCTGATTTCTGGGCCTCAACATTAGTAACAAAGAAACAGAATTTCTGGAGGATGAGGCCCAGAAATCAGGATTTTAACAAGATTCCCAGGTGATTCTAATGTGCAGCCAAGGTTGAGAACCACTGGTTTAGATGGAGTTTAGGAAACCAAGCCTCACACTCCTCCACGGGCCTCTCCACTCCCCACCCCACCCCACCCCACCCCGGGCCATGGGGCTTAGTGCGCATGCGCATGTGGTGTTTTCAGCTTGGGCGCAGACGTCCACCTATGGGACACCCGAGTGGCTGGAAATTGGGAAAGGGAGATGCTATGCGGCATCAGGTGAGGGTTTCACGGAGACTCGGGGCCTTTTTCCTCAGGAGTTGCAAAGCTGCAGAAAAAGGAATTGAAGTGAGAATCAAGTAGAGTAACATCATGGCAAATGGGCATAGTCCTAAAATCTCCTTCCTGGGCCCCTCCAACTGGATGAACCTGGAGGTCGCAGCGAAATGTGCACTTGGAATGAAAAGGTGAGAAGAAGCAGCGGGGAGAGGGGTGTGGTGAAGTCCCCTGAGAGGAACCTCCACCTGAAGGCTCACTT